GGCAAGTGGCCCTTCAAGTGGGTGGTGCGACGCGAAGAGGCAGGGTGTGTGGGATGGGGATGTTACTGTAGGAGCAGTGACACCCATGACCGAAGGCTTTCCTGAACGGACCCGGGTGCTGTGGTCCCGCCTGCCCTATCACCATTCTGCTTTACATTTTACCCTCTAAGCAACGTGTGCTCGACACCAGGGACCAGAGAACAGGAGGGCCTTCACAGCCACCCCTTGGCACGCCCTCCAGGATGGCAGGGACCAGAGAGCCGGAGGGCCTTCATAGCCACCCCCCAGCTGTGCCGTCCAGGACGACAGTGCCGAGTCCTGAACTGGGTGCTCAGTAGCCATCTCAGTGCAGACACGCTGCCTCGGTGTCTGGCGATGCTGGCTCTCACCCTCACAGACGGGTTCAGGGCAATACTGGCCTGCGTGGCAGGGCCGAGTGGGGTGCTGCCACCGCTCTGCTCCCAAGAAATCGCTGGTACAGCTTATTTGGCAGGGCTTCTGCACTCAGCCTTGGCACGAATACGGTGCCAGAAACCCCGCAGGGGGAGCTCTTGCCCACAGGAGCTGCAGAAGGTGAGACTGGGCACAGCCGGGGGGCCTGCCTGTCACTGCAGCTGGGACGGCCGGGATCGTAGTTCGTTGCAGTTAAGAAGACCAGCAGTGTTTCTGGGTGCTGGCAAGACCACGCGGATCTGTGCATGTCAGTGTCCCTTGGAGGAGGGGGACTCCGGTGCAGAAGATGGGCCGGAGGGGGAAAACCTTAGGCAGAGAAGGCCTGGGCAGGCCCAATGCCCAGTCGGGGGGTAGAGGGCTCGAGTAGAAGCCAGGGCACTGCCGAGTGGTGCCCAGCGGAGGGGGAGCAGTGGCCGGGGCCAGTCCCTGCAGAGTCCTCGCCGCTCACCCCGGGTCCAGGCCCACGGCTCTCCACGTCCGCCTGCTGACCTGCCCCCAGCCCGCCGCTCACAGCGAGGTCTCGTTGGCGTGCGGGAGCACCCTTCTGCGGGAAGAGGGCGCTTAGCCCAAGGACCTGAAAGCAAGTGGCCTCGAGTCACAGCCCCAGGACTTTTAAGTCCTGCCAGGGGCGCACATGCTGGCCTGAGACAGTGAGAAAGCAGCCATGGACGTCTCACCATGGTCCTCCGCTCTGGGTGCACACATGTGCCTGTTGGGTTTTTCAAGCCACTGAATCCAGGACTCGAACCGTGTGGTCAGCCACATGGAATCCGGTTGCTTTAATCAGCACGCCACTGGCTGGCCCAGCAGCAGGGCTTCAACACACAACTGCTCAGCTGTTGATGCCACCTCGGTCAAGACTGGTCCTGCTGGCTGTGGGCAGTGTGGCCAAGGCAGCGGATGCCGCGTGGCCGGCTGTGCGGTCCGAGTCTGGGACCAGCACTGGCGTGAGGCATACAAGGTGCGTGTCTGCGTGCCCAAGGTCCCCAAGGAGGGAGAGATGGAGAAGGGATGCAGCGTGACCACCCCGCGGGGGTGCTTTCTCACCCCTCTCCCGTACTCTACCCAGTGCACAACACTGGCAAACTAAAGGGGGAGCAGTAGGGGGCGTGGCGGATAAGGTGCTGGACTCACTGCTGACTAGTTCAAGCTTCAGACCTGGCGGCCTGAAAATCATGCTGGGCATGTGTGCGCCCCAAATCCTGAGGGGTCTAGAGGAGAAAGGGCTGCCTGCAGCCAGGGCGATCTCTCACTTGCTCACTCTCTCGTCACTATCTCTGTCTCTGTCCAGTGTGTGCACCCTTATGGCAGAAACGTAAAATTTAAAAAGGTTGAGTCTGTATTAGAATCAGATTGATAACCCAGACTGGTCGAATCCAGAACAAACAAGCAGAAAGCGGCCGGGTCCCGGGTGTCGCATGTGTACGTCCCTCCCAGAGGCCCAGGTGAGCTGCGGGACAGCTGAGGCTGTGGCCCTGGGCACCCTGTTGGCCAGGCAGATGGCTGCCCCTGCTGCAGCTCCTCGAACATTCTGCCTCGGCCTTCCCTGTGCCCGGCGTGGGCTGGGAGCCAGTCCCGGTGAGCCCACCCTGCTGGTCCAGCGGCACCCAATCCCATCCATGAAGGGTCACGCTACTCCTGCAGTGGCAGGTCTCAAACTGGCCAGAGGACTGGCCCTGGGGTTCCTGAAACCCACTCGGGGTCTGCAGGGTCGTGATCTCCAACTGCAGCCCTGCGCGGAGCGGGGAGCTTCCGCGCACCAGAGTGGTGTGGTGGCCGCAGCAGCAGGGGTGAGGAGGCGGGAGCCGCGGAACAGCCTGCGGCACGCCCGTTGGACGTCTGGAAAATCGGTTTCCACCGAAATGCCTTGTCCGTTATCTGCTGAGGTGCTGCCCTTTGTAAGTGAGTGGGTAAAGCTGCACACTCGGCCTCAGTCTCTGGGACGAGAATACCAGTGGACAGGGCTTATGGGAACACAAGCTTGTGGCGAGGCTCCGTTCACAAAGATAGGGTCCTGCGAGACTGCCGTCCGAGCCTCGCTCCCTCCGGCGTCCCGCGGACAGCTCCCGTAACAGGCTGTGTCGCCCACTGTGGTGGGAGGACGCTGGCTCAAACAGACTGCTCGGAACTGGTCCTGCACGTGGCTGCTCAGCTCCAAGGCCAGGCTGCATGTCCCGGCTCCCACCAGAGGCCGCCTCGCCAGGTTCCCGTGGGCACCCGGGGAGTGGCTGCTCGGAGGAGGCCCAGGCCCTGGGGGCAGCTGAGCACTGTCATGCCTCCCCCACCCCACAACACCCTGCCCACGCGGGCCTCCGCCCACCTGCCGAGGGAGGGAGGAGGCCTGTACCTGTTGGCCCGCTTCAGGTCGTTCACGAACTCCGCCGACTGCTGGTGCCGGACCTCGCTGCTCTTGGTGAGCCTCTCCAGGGCGCCCACCAGCTCCTGCACCCTGGCCTTCAGCTTCTTCTCTCTGCAGAGGGAGAACGGGCCTGAGTGGCTGGAGTAGGGGCGGTGGGGAGGAGGGGCAGCTGGCACAGCCCAGAGGCCGGGAGGGGAGGAAGGCGGGCCCAGGAGGGGCGCTGCCCAGTGGGCACTTGCTCACCCTGCGGCCCTGCGTGACGTAAGGACATGCCGCGAAGGAATGGGCAGGGACCTTGCTGTGGCTCAGCAGGCCCCGGCCGCCATGTGCAGCCTGAGCACACACCTGTCGCTGTGCCCATGCCCGTCTCGTCCCCACCCAGGGCTTTAAGAGCAGAAACCCCTGGGGCCAGCTGGTGGATGGCAGTTAAGGTGGCTGGATCCCACACGGCCAGCTGTGCAGTGACGAGTCCTGGACCCAGTGGCTTGTAAAGCACCGGGTATGTGAGCTTTCCCGCC